TCAAAGCCCCAACGTTTATTCCCCTTGACTGATCATTCCATTTCAATATATTTAGCCTAAAGAAAAAATCACTGCTGTTCAGAAAAGTTTATGTAAAGTATGTTCAGCAGAGTGTTCATTACAACAGAAAATATCAGGAATCATCCTGAATACTAACAAGGGGGTTAGTTACTGGTTGAAAAAATTATAATAAATAATAATGTTAATGACAATAAGAACAATAACTATTTATGTAACTGACTTACTATTGCCAGGCACTGTACACACCATAAACCTATGAAGGAGGTATTACTATTACCCCTTTTGATAAATCAGGATACAAAACTCATACAGTAGCACAAGTCGCACAGCATGATCCCAATTCTGTTTTAGAAAAATATACATGTGACCATTATAAAAATGGAAGAAAAAATGATAAAATGTTAACAGTGAATATCTCTAAGTGATGAGGTTAGAGATGACTTCATTTTCTTCATTTTATTTTGTATTTCTTAACTTGTATTTCTGTTACAAGAATTGGAAAAGGGTGTTCTAATTTTAGCAAAAGGAAGTACAAGAAGAATATGTCCCCCGACCCCCTTAACATTTCTTCCTTCTAGGTATAATACAGCATTTTTATTGTTTCAATAGAAACACTTTACTTTCATTTATATATATTTTATGTTGCCCTCCCTGGCCGGTGCGGCTCAGTTGGTAGAGCATTGCCCTGTGCACCAAAAAGGCAGCAGGTTCAACTCCCAGTCAGGGCTCATATCCAGGTTTCTGGTTTGATCCCAGGTTGGGGTGCGTACTAGGAGGCAGCCAATTGATGTTTCTCTCTCACATCATGTTTCTCGCTCTCTCTTCCTTCCTCTCTCTCTAGAATCAATAAAAATAAATAATTAAAAATAACAGTAAAGGATAAGATCAAGGTTGCTGCAAAAAGAATGTTTTTGTTTAGATAAATAAAAACTATAATATAGGGGACTGAAATAGAGACTCCAAGGTCCCTTACAGCCCCTCTTAACTCTGTATTTATAGTAATACGGAAAAGTACTTATGACGTAGCCCAAAATGCTACAAAATAGTACATAACATGTATAATCTTATTTAAACACCAAAATAACACTAATAAAAATCACTAAAAGTGTAGATCATCTGAGTCTTTTTTTTTAAGTGAAAAACTTTAAAGCCTCCAAATCATATTTCTGCTTACTAATGCACAGCTGCTGTAAACTGCTTAATAAGAAGGGCAATAGGGTTCTGCCAGATTTCCTTTAAGTCTTTTTCTAGAGCTGACTACATTTTCAAGTTAATAAGTTCTGTAGTAAAGCGGATTATTTCAAAGAATGCTTTCTTTGTCAACCCTTGTACAGTAATGAAACAAAAGAATACTTTAGAAAAACCAATTCACTTATCACTTTTTAAACTTCTAATACATTATTGAAATTAAAAAAGTCTTAATTTATCAGAGGAACCTACCTATGATATTTATTATTTTATATTTATGTTTTGATAATCATAAAACTCATTGTCCTCTTTTCTCATCTTTAAAATAACACTTTTACATGAAAATAAAGTAATTTTGTATAGACTTTTTCAAAGCAATGAGCCAGCACTAATTTCATACACAGAAAAAAACGCACGTAAATTTTCCTGTGTTATCTGATCTCATTTGGAACATTTCCTCTGAGACGTTATGTTATATATTATGTTTAACTATCAACTACAATAGCATGCTTCATCACTGCATCAGTTTATTAGTCTTAATTCAAAATAAGAACTGGGACTCACATAACAACTGAGAAGTGATTGTTAAATTGTATAGAAAAAGCTTAACAGATATGAAACAGAATTTTAAGGTTACCTGAATTCAAAGTCTCTTGTGTGACTTATCTGGGCACTAAGCACAGCTTGTTTTATTTAGTAAAACTGCAATTTAATTCAGAATATAGTAGGAAATCAACTGCAAATAAACAAGTCCAATAAAAGACTGGTAAGAAGGAAATTAACCTTTAAGATGTGTGTTTTTTAAAAAGGGCAACAATGAAGGATTTGAGAAATTTTCTGATAGTTTCTCTTCAAAAATGTTAATTTTAAAACTTATCCATTACTTACATCATTTGAACCTTTTTAAAATAAGTTTGCATGGAAATGATGTCTATTGATAACAAAGAAAACCACCCAAATTTTTCTTTTTTTTATATTTTCTTTTTCTTTTTATGTTTTCTTATTGACTTCAGAGAGGGAGGGAGAGATAGTGATCAGCTGCCTCTGGCACGCCTCCAACTAGGAATCGAGCCCAAAACCCCAGGCATGTGTCTTGACTAGAAATCAAACAGTGACCTCCTGGTTCATAGGTCGACACTCAACCACTGAGTCATGCTGGTCGGCCTATCCAAATTGTTCCAACCAGGTTTTAAATTATACACTTATAATTCAGTTTTACCTGGTAACCTTGAAATGCTAGTCAAAATGCAAGAGAAATAAGGATTATCAGCACAGGAAATAAATGTGGTTATCTACTATGACACCACAGAGTAAAGGTATAGAAAACAGTTACGGAAACTACCTACACTTTTAATTAAATAATGCCTGAATGCAAGTTTCTTTTCATCCAAAAGGGCTATTCCTCAGTTTAAAAGTAAACACACATTTACAACATATATGTGTACATATACAAACATTTATATACACTCAGACATACATATGTATGTGTGTAAGTTCAAGTGTGTATATGTATATGAGTATTTTATATAAATGTATTATGCATATGTATACATTTTCAAACATAAATCTTGTACACTTAAAATTTTTCAATTAAAGGTGCTAAATTTGAAAGGGAGCAATCTTGGTAAACTCCCTCTACTTTTAGGGAATATCATGGCTAACTTGAACATATTTGATTACATGATACCCAAATTCATTCACACAAAATTATCTTACTAGTGTTAACTAAAATCATGTGGGAAATTAAATGCAGCAGCTTCAGTCACTGATTTGAGGCGGGGGGGTTCCTACATTAAAGAACCTAACCTACCTATATTCCAACTAAATGCACAGAGTAATCAACTTTAATTTAGAAAGCAGGTAATTTAATCTATGCAAGAAAAATGTTCTTAGTAGATAATATTATAAAAATCAATGTCTCTACCAACCCCTTGAAGCTCACTTGCATTCACTTTCAGCATCTTTTTGGCCAACTTCATGTGCTATGGAGCAGGCATACACTGGCAGCTGACTGCTTGGGTCATTATTATTATGTACTCAATTTCACTGCCACAGGCCAAGAGCTAGCTATCAGAGGACAGCTAACAAAAAGATAAAATCCAAATTGCAAGAGAATATCCTGAACAGTCACCAGCAGATGCTAAAGTCAACTCTAATCAGAAGAGCCTTTTTATCTTCAGAACTGCCAAGATCGCTCACATATACATATTTTCAATAATCAGCATGTGCATTTAGGGTGAGGCTTTATAATTATAATTAAAACTTGCTTAGCAAGTTTTTTTGGGCAATTTCAGTTTTATAGAGGCAAATCATTTACTGTTTCATTTTATGCCTGATTTGACAAAAGTCTAAAAATCCAAATGGGTCAAAACTAAGCCCTTCTACTTTAGCTAATCTACTACCATAAACCCAATGGGAACGGTGATGGTGACTGTAATTTTATAGGCACAAACCAACAAGTCCTCTGTTCATAGGAACTTCGGGTTAACCTGAGGGGAATACCAATATAAAGGTATTATTAACTGAATATATTTGCAACTAAAAAAGAATCACTGCTTTAAGTCACGCAAGTAACTAAACTGAAGTCTACCTTACTCTCTCTCAAACAGCCTCCTTATAGACTCCCTTCCTCTTCAAATTACAAATTCAAAAGCAAAAGCATTCTAAAATTAAAATGTTTTGTTGCCCTCTCATTTTACTTAGAAATCACCACACAGTCTAACGTAATAAGTACCTTAGATGACCATTTTCAAGTTTCTATAAAATTTGCTAAAGATGATTTTTATCAACATGCATATCTAACATTAATATCTCTCTCTAACTAAGGATTATTACAAAATGGAAAGAGAAAAAATAAATAGCATTTAAAATTTTATTATACCTAATTTTGGGCACCTTACACAACATATCCTTCAAGTCAAAGCATCAACTGGATTATCATCTTTATAAATGAAAGAGTTATAACATAGATAAACAAAATAACAGTGAACAAATGGAATCCTTTCAAATGTCCATTTTTTAATAAGATTTTCTTCATTATATTTAAATTGTTATTAATCTGCATTCTGAGCACAAGAAAGTGAAGCTGTACAGAGAAATAGAAACCAAAGTAGTATAAAATACTGTCATTAAGGCACAAAACTGGTATTTGAGTGGATATGCATTAAGGTTTTAAACTATACCACCCTCTGAGAACTACTTAATAACTTATATTTATAAATGTACTAATGCAAAAGAAAAACTTTATGAAGTTATTTAATATTAGTATAGAGCCATAATGTCCTCAGAGTACTGCCTTTAGAATGACAGTAAGTCCTATTTCAGGTGATCAACATAGAAGTGAAATACAGAACACCTAAAAGAAAGATTCTATAGTAACAGACCATTAGAAATCAATTTTGCCTTTCCTGCAGCACATTCAGAGAATTCAAAGAAATTAAGGCTTAATCAAAATAAATTTTTCATCAACATTTTCCCACACGGTACAGATACCAAGGAATAACAGAACTGCCCAAACCATAAGAGAACACTAAAGCATAAACGCTTATTAATATGCTTAACTACCTGTTAATAATAGACATGCTCAAAAGAAAATGTAGACTAACAGTTGAGAGAAACAGAAAAGGAAAACCAAAAGTCAAATGCCCCTTACACAAAGGGCAAATCCTATTAGAAGTGCCCTTACGAATAGTTCCAAAATGAAGCGATCTCAAGAAAGAACTGCAATCATTGTTACCCATTATCTGCTGCATTAAAGTTTCTATCACCAAGATTACATAAGGCCTGCATACCAAGTTCATCGTGCAAACTGCTGCCGCCTACAGCAGATGCATTGTCATGTGATGCTTCTAAGTGGACACTCCCATTTCTCACCAGCAAGGAGGCACTAGCACTGAGCACTGCAGCCTGGGAAGGGGGGCGGGACTGGACTTTGACCTGGGCTGTGGACTGCTGGCCTTGCTGCCCATCTTGAAGGCTAGGAAAAAACATGGATTGGGGAGACATTACAGGGAAGAAAAGAGAAAACAACAGCTAGAATGAAGTCAACATAGAAAAAATTGATTAGAAAAAAAAAACAACTTTCCAATGTAACCTAAGCACCAACAAACTTTGTAAAATATACAGATTATACTGCCGGCTTAAATCTTCTGGTCCTTAGAAATCTGTTAACAGCATAGTGATGAGCTCAGTAAACATTCAATGTATATGTAAATTAATCAATCTGTGACTTTTTTCCACCTCAAACCAAAAAGTTCTAGTATAAGGAAAGAGAAAGCAGCAAAGAAGAATCACAAATACATAAAATATATGTGGCTTGCAGCTGTTCCCAATTATATCCTAATTTCCAGGAAAATGTGCACTTTTATAACTTTGTAATACTAATTTTAGAGTTGTTTTTTCAAATATTCTGACATCTCAAATTCACATAAAACTTTTATGCACTTGAAAACCAAAGACTCTTTATGAAATTCAACTAAGATAACAACTTTGAATTAAAAAAAAATCACAAACTAGTGCAACAGAACCTGAGTAACAAGCACCAACTCAACTAAGGGAATTCATGTCCGCTGGGACACTGGAAGAAGTATAATTAATATACAGTATAAAGAGTTTTATCTAGAAAAAGTTTATATATTTCTGAAACAAGGCCACAAGCATTATACACAAAGTGTGAGTTAACAATAATCACGTCCCCTTAAATTTTGTTAGTACCTTTCCAATCTATATCATGGTGTCATTAACAAGAACCCATCATTTTACAAAATCTTAAAAATAATTTGGAAACCAGCAATTTCTCACAGGATATTACAGTCTCTTCCAAATTTTATAATATTCTAAAAATACTTAGTATTTTGTGCTTATAAATTTATTTATAAAAATTATTTATCTAAAAATTATCTAAAATTAAGAAGCTATTATATTTTTAACTAATTTTATATTTTATGTATTTATTTTAAAACACTGTGAATTTTAACATTCTTAGTACAAATTTAAACTGATGAAACTCATGAAAACATTTTGAGTACAATTATTATATGTCATTCTCTACATTATGTTCAATGCAATACTGCATTCTGCTACTAAAATCATTAGACCTTTTAGGAAAGATAAAGAAGAATGCTACTTAGGATGGCCTCCTTCAGTTACTTTAGTATTTTCATGATTAGCAACTTCTCTCTAATCCTTTGAATTCAATGCAATGGTTTCTGTGATACCTATAAAATAAACTCATCTGCTGCAGACTGTGAAGAGAGCTGTAATTTGAGATAACCTTCAAATAAAAGACTAAGTAAAAAACACTGCATATATTGCTTAGGTCTATAGTTACGGCAACAGGATTCACTCTGGGACCACACTGTCTGATTCAGTAGTCACATATGATAATTTAAAGTAACTAAAATTTTACTTCTTCAGTCCCACTAACCATATTTCAGGTGCTTCACAGTCACTTAGAGTCGCTAGTGGCTACCATAGCCAAAAGCTACCAGAGGAGGTAGAAGTTAGTACTCAGCATCTACCATACTGGACAATGTAGATTATAGAATATTCCCACCACAGAAAGTTTATTAACCACCACTACCTGGAACATTCATATTCCAGGCTTCTTTTACAGCCCATGAAAGGTGTACACTCTAAGTAGAGCATAGGAATGCATGCAACATACAAAAAGCCAAGTCTGCAAAATGTTGACTTGTCAATGCTCACTGGCATTTTTTAAGTCATATCTATAAAAGTAATCATTTAATAACATCTTTGGAGTAGAATGTTTGTACAATAGACATAAATCAAGAGATGATCTTGAGAACTAATATAATCAAATGTTTGTATTTTCTATACATATATAAAGTCTGTTATTCTTCCTCAGAAACTATCTGAACTTATCCACAAACCTTAACAAAATGACCAAATTTCACAGGGGAGAGAACTCTGAGGAAAAATATTTAAGTAGTTCAAGTACTATGTCCCTTCCAATTCAGAAGACAGAAGAGTTTTATAGAATATGTACTCAACAAATTTTACTATCAATGTTTTTCACTTAAGTCTTAAACAAAGGTGCTGTATGGCAGTTAGGGGTATTTTAATGCAAACATATGAGAATACACTGATCTTCAACATAACCAAATACACAAAAAGGTTTTCAAAATATCAGGTGATGCATGAAAACTCCAGAATAAAGTAACAAAGTAAATTAGCCAAAATATAGTGGTTGTAAATGTCAAGTTCTGAAACATCAGAGCTACTCATAAAATGTTTATGTCCCTTGAATTCCTGTTTCCAAAAACAGGAGGCGTGTCATTTTTGCACAAATTGTTAGGAAAACTTCCTAGAGGGTTGTACTTTACCTTAAGATAATAATCGACGAGAGTTAACCTTTTTTAGAGTACAATTATATACCAAAACTACCAGTTTGAGAAAAGATAGCAACAGTTTTCCAACACAGCAAAAGGAAAGGCAGAAATTTAGTTCATCTGTCGACTATCAATAGCGCCACTGACAGGCAATCTCACTAATTAACATTTCCAATTTAAATGACCGAAAAATACAGTTGGTCTTTCATTCCTCTGCACACGTATTTAGTGTCTGACATATTCTGACTTCTACTGTTAGTTACCTTTGTATGTGTCTCCTCAACTAAAAAGGAAACTCAAAGAGTTTGATCACATGATTCCTATGAATCTCAATTCCAGAGAATACTGAGAAGAGTGTCTTGGACACAGTACACAAACAACAAATATTTAGTGGATCCATTCCTGAGCACCACAAAATGATCCCTATGAATCCCTAATCACGGACTCTCGGTTATTGCTACGACATTCAATCTTAAGATATTTTAAAAAATAAACCTAAGGATACACTAAAGCTTTTTTCCCTCCCCAAAATGCACTGATAACTTCTTTCCATTCCACCCCATTACCTAGAGTTCTAAGAAATATCACATTTAGGTTGATAAATATAGACATATAGACTTCTTAATATTAATGTTACAAAATTTTTAAATTTTTGTTTTTGCTTTTATCTCTAGTAACTGCAGAAGACTACTAAGGTCCTACAGTAAAACCTACCCTACAAGGCTAACTTAATGAAAAGAAAAAAAAAAAACTTTTAAAATTAGTTCTGAAACAGGATATTCTAGCAAGCATAAAAAATTCATGGAGATTTTCTTTGTGAGGAAATTGATGACTCACTCCCAGTCCTTGGAGACATATTTTATCCAGTTGCTTTTTAGACTGTCAATTATATAACCTATTCACTAAAGTTTAAAATAAACTAGATTTTACTAATATCTATATAGTAATTGTAATTAAAGTGTTATCACACCTATTCCATTTCTTTTTGACAGATTTTTCAAGTTTTGCATCAACATGCCATCCTGCATTTACTTTAAGATGAGATTATTATGATGTAACTCACACTGAGAATTAACACCAATATACTTCTCCTGAATATTTTAGCAGTTAAAAGAGATTATTAAATTGGTGTTTCTCCTAATTCCTCACAGCTAAATTTTATCTTATTGCATCATGATGAAGTCAGCCTATTTAAGATACATACAACCTTTCTACTGGAAATATCCTGGAACTTGGACAAAATCTACCTACTGACTACTGGAAGATCACGTCCAAAAATTCTAATGTGAGCCCTTGTAAATAAGTTTCGCATCATATCCTCATTTGGATGGTGATGTATTTAAAATCCTACAAAAACATGGAGAAATCCTATGTGATTGGCTGGAGTTAGGACACAGTTCTTTAATATTCCACCAGGCAGAGAAAAAAACTAATTTGTCTACATTTGTTAGATGAATGGGATCCAGCAGACTCATTTGTGGCAAAGAAAGAAACAATTTTTAAAGGCTGAAATGAGAAGGTTAAAATAAGATTAAGAAATACCAACATGGAGTCAGCAGGGAAGCAAAGAAGGGACATATCCATGGCAAGTATTATTCAAGGGACAAAAAAAGAAAGACGTTAGAAAATACGAAACAGAAAAGGTAAAATGAAAGGCTGAGCTCTCTCTGCAGTTTAGCACTAGACCCCAAATCCATAAGCAGAAAGGAAAGTTACTTTGGGGAGCAGAGGAAAAGAGGTGAGAAGGAAATGGAAGAGGGGGGCTCACAAAAGGTTTCTAGATCAAACGTTTAATTGGTGCCTTCCCACTTTTATATTCTAATATTGGTTAAACTAATCCATATTACTTTTTACAGAATTATGTATTACTGCAGGATTAATTAGGAACATGACCTATGAAAGATGAAGTTCCCGATGATAATGTAAAATAATCAAGTCATAAATCCCAGAGGAATATAAAGAAATAAGGATTTTGCTACTCTTAAGAGTAGTATTTTAACAAGGGAAGTGGTTTATCTCTTCCAACCTTACCATGCATTCAACAGCAGTTATTTCACCAAATGCTCCTCCTTTTGAATTTCAAATTAAAATATAGGAAAATAATTTGTATAATGGTGCATTCAGACACAAAGATTAATGAAAGTATGTGGTATAACATATGCACTGCTTAAGCAAGCACATGTACAGTATTTTGGTCTATACTTGTATTCTCAAAATAAAGCACACATTTTTTTAAACAGCTTTTTATATTTCTAATTCAAGACACAGACTCATTAGATTTGACACAATTGAGAATAAAACACTAAAATTTTAATGGAAAATTATTCTCAATATTATAAATAGATGGTTTATTAATTAGGATACTGGAAAAATTAAAATGTTTTTGTTCCATACACTACAGAGGTTGAGAATTTAACATAGAAATGCATTCAAAAATATGTATATATATCCTATTGACCAAACTTTACCATAAATTAAATACTTTAGTTTTGTGTCATTTACTAGATTCTGGTGATTAGGAAATAAAAACACCAATCTTTAAGCAATACAAAATAAAATACATACGTTAGTGGAATAAAATAATCAAACTGGTTTCAAGCTGAGGTCAGTTATCTGTTACTCCTCAACAGGCTTGCCACTCGGTCTCTATTCATACAAAACACTGTCAAGATGTTATATTATTAATTTGGAATAGAAAAAAATGAAGAGCTGACGTAAGGCCTCTATTTATATTTTTAAAGCTACCATAAAGTGATTTTTCAATTTAAAACTGGGTGAACCAATCTGATCATTTTGTTTAATTAGTGCAACAGGCATGCATAATGGTTGATGGTCACATGCAGAGAAGGCCTAACGAGCATAAAAGTAAATGAGAGAGACTGGAAGAAAAGGAAAACAAGGCCGTTTAAACGCTTTCCTGGGACTGACAACAGGTTAGAACGTCTGTTACACGCATGCTAAGCTTGGTGGAATTTTAAGATACCATACCTTAGGGGTGATCCGATGAGCAATGTAGGAGGGGTAGGGTTACTCCCTGCATTGTGCCGGCGCCGTACTGCCTGGCGCCTAAATGTGCTGCGTTCACGGCGAAATGCCACCACCTCCTCGCTGGCCTGTGCTGCTGCATTAAGACAGACTTAGGTCAAATAGGAGCCTAGGTCAAAGACGTAAACAGCAGCTGAGCCTGCCTCTCCCTGACGTCCCACCCTCAAAGGTAAAGGAGCTTGTTTAATTGAGCTAAATGGTTTTCTTACACACATGGTTAATCTACGATAATAAGGAATGCATGAAAAATATCAGTCATTGATTTAAGGACTGTTTCTTTAAAAATAATGTTTTTGATCTATTACCTGGCCTCACCATCTTCTCGGCCTCAATTTTCTATTTTAAGATCTGTTGTTTTAAGTATTTTTCGAAAAGCCTCATTTCTTTAGTCCCCTATTTCTCCATTCTCCCTTTAATTAAGTCGGCCTTAAATGTAGTCTTTGTTAGTTCCGACCAACAGCGTGGGGCTGTTTCCTACTCTCGTGAGGACAATAAAAGCGGCAGTGACAGCACTTCATTTCTGATGCCCAGGAATTAAGGTCCTGCGTTCGCCTCATCCTACCCTGAGCCACAACTTTGGCAGCATTAATGAAACCACCGGCTGGCTGCTCGGATGCACAGCTAGTTTTTAAAATGTTCAATTCAAGGCAGTGAGAATATCTATCAACTGTGAAGTAGTTTGCTGCCACCAAACTTTGTTCAACTCTGTGCCCCCAGCACTGGTCCCCTCAACATTAGGAAGCAAATACCAGCAAAAAGGCAAGTATGGGAACTCATAACTTTACCTAAAAAGCAATGAAGTACAAACTAAAACCAATATACAGTGAGAAAACCACAACAATGGTTTAACAGAATTACTAAATAAAATTTTATAAAACCGTACCAATTGTCTTGAGTTTCTAAAACAATATGCAAAATGATGTTTATCCATCTGAATTTAAAACAATTGTTTTCTAGTGATCCAAATATTTTATGAATCATTTTGATTTATAGAAAGTGCATTTTGAAACTAAATATGAATAAAGACAAAACAACTTAGTACAGAAACATTCTTTCCAAATACATAAAAACACCTGTTTTAGTAAGTAGGAAACGGATTACAAAATCAAGAATGTTATATTTAGGTTTCAGTTCTGCTGCAAGCCTTCTTAACATTTTAAGAGCATTACTAATTCTCAAATCATTATTCTGCTTAGCAGTCGCCATTTCTATCATTTGAATGCTGACTAATAAAGTATTCTTTTAAATGTTTACATTTTATCATCTCCCCAGGTTATACCAGTAAACATTCTCTGTGTAATTAACCCATAGACCACCTCCAGAAGACAGACTTCTTTGTCTTTAGGTAGTTTTCTTTTATTGAAGGAATGACAAGCACAGAATAATTTTACATGTTTGGCAAGCTTCTGCCAGTAAGAAGTATAGTCACAAGTTACAGGACACTTATTTATATTATTTATATACATTTATTTATACTATTTCTTTTTCAGCTCACACACTACAGTGACCTTCTAAAGTTAGGCAGTTAAGTAAGAATTAAGCTTTGGATCTAAACCACAAATTACCCTTTGAGCTAATCTTTCCTTGCTTTTTTCTCCAGTTTTACTGAAATATGATGAAAGTTCTGTTAAATGTGAAAAGACTATTACTCGTGACATATAAGCTCATGTATGCAAAAGTTATAGATGACTTGTGAGAAAAAATGATGCTGATTAAATCTGGTCATCTAGAACCATGCTGTCCAACATAGTAGACACTAGCTATTTGTGGTTAAACATAAATTAATGAAAATTAAATAAAATTTAAAATTCAGTTTATCATATTCATGAACCACATTTCAGTGCTCAGCAGCGACACGCAGCTAGTGGCTACCATTATTGCACAGTACAAATACAGAACATTTCCATCATCACAGAAAGTTGTACTCAACAGTGCTGATTTAGAAAGTCAAGGATACCTTTTGTCACCACAATCTACAAAGCATATTGTGTGCTTTGCCTATTTCTGACAGCCATGACCTCGATAAAAGAAAACTGTAACCAGCACTGTCGCAAAGGGGAAACATACATTGGCAGGGCAGTCATTGGAGGAAGGTAAACAAAGCAAACAAGCCACTTGAAACTTTGATAAGTGAACTGTTAACAGTTCTTAGACATCAATAAGGTTAACTCAGGTAACGGAATTTAAAATCACTCTTTTGATACTTCAATATTTTTGTGAACTCATATTGAAGAATTCTATTCTACTGTAACAAACTACTGGTCAATTTACAGACCAATTCATTTCACTGAGAAACTTTCAAACATTCTCACTAGTTTTAGATATTTTGTTTCAATCAAAATAGCAGAATAAAATTTACAGATTAATTTATAGAGGATAATATGATCCATAAAATAGAATAAAATTATTCAGAAGAATTTGGAAAAAAGGAGTATGTTATCACTGAATACTGAGAATGGGAAATAAGAACGTTTTCTTTACTATCTTCCTTCTAACTAAAGACATAATGGTGTTAATTTGAAAGCTAGTTATTCCATAGCACGGATAAAAAGACAAACCACCATGTTCATTTACAATCAAAATGTCCTTTGGCTTCTTTAGAAAACACATTTCTTTTTGCTATTAACACACCATTTATATTTTGTTATGTATAAAATCACTACATATTAACGCTTCTTACTTTAATAGTTTTGTAAACACATCAAGATGTAAGTTTAGGCATCCACTGAACAATGTATTGAAATGCCCTTTGTAATACTCAGTGTGTAAATATCTAATACTAAAAGAATTTTCAAAGTTTACTATAGCAATTATCTTAACACTAGCTAGGATCACACATTCAACTGAAAACAGGGGGATGCTATTTATGGTCACAACAAATAAGACTAACCCATGCCCCCTGGGAATGCGCTACTTATACAGAACCTCTCTACCTGGAATAGGGTCCAGGGGAGTCCAGTTCTACTAGAGCCAAGGAAAGAAAAGTGACTTTAAAGCTTAAAATAACTTGCTGTAAGCATATTCAATCACATAAATTAGAGCCAAGCTTAATGAAAATTCACTTCTGCAATCCAATTGCAATATACTCTTTTTGAATCATTTAACTTTATAAAAGAAAACAACAAAATCTATAAACAAGGAAACCAGACAGGAAAGAGAAAACAATTTAAAATCCGGTTTTGAAGTTGATATTTTGACATTGCTTAAAACTCTATCTCCTGGCAAATAAATGAAATGAACTAGTAAAATTGTAAAAGAATAAGCAGCTAAAATAATAAAAATTCAGCACTCTAGGTACAACTAAATTCTACACAGGTGTAGGCAGGGAGAAAAAAATCACAAATATTCAAGTGATTAAAAAACCATAAATGACAAGACATATGAAATACTTTAAAGGACATGTATTTAGACAATGGTTTTTAAACATATTTTATTAAATTACAAGAGTCTTAACTTTTTAATCGTTTTTTTGTGTTAAGAAAACTTCAGGAGAATGAGAGAAAACTTCAGATAATTAACCCTTTACTTTTGGCGTAGGGATACAATCATTCATTAAGTTTAAATGTTTACTGGGTGCCTAAGGGCAAATCAACGCATGCACCAGACACAAATGTCCTAAGCCATTTTAGACAGCTGTGACTGGATCTATTCCTAAAGATCAAAAAGAAAACAAAGTCCACAATACACACCTCCTACTTCAGGAGTAACCTCCATTTCTCTCAGCGAGTTAAGGAAAATTCTACACATTCTGTATCAAATTATTTTAATGCAACTATTTATTTTCATATGGAGTATTAAGCAACAGATTATCGATCTGTTTTACTCTGTGAATGAAAACAGGGAATGCAACTAAAGGCACTAAAATACTTTCAGGATGGCTGGGATGCACAAAAGAGCACAATTTGGTAAGGCAGGAGGTGAGGGGTGTCCATATTCTACCTCAAAAATTGGAAAGTTATGAGAACATGTACAGAACAAGATGCCACTTAAAAATGTCCACCATACAGCCGACTGCTTAGTGAAAGGATTCGTATGTAGTAAGTTACTCTCGTTATATACTGCTATGACTGGCCTCTTGTGATAGCTCAATTGCTATTAAAGGGAATTACTAAAAATTTAGACTGCAGAAACTGCTCAAAAAAGGTATTTTCTGTGGGGAGTGTTTATTGTAAGAAAAATAGTAGTAAATTTGGGACGATCATGAAAATATAATGTGTTTTGGAACTTCAAACAGATTAGAAGCCAATGTTAGTAGAGAGTGAGATGTTTAAGAAAGAGAACGAAAGTGTGAAACTAGTATATATACATCTCAAAAAGATAAAAGATACATGCAAACATTCTGGAATATTCTTCAAGGTAAAAATATTTTACTTAAGAACAAAGTTACTATATGAAGAAATAAACATCCAAATGATTTTGCAAAACATTTTAAAGGATGTATTTTAGTGTAGGCATGAAGCCCATTTTCTCTGAACATCTTTTCCCTTTCTTACCTTCCATGTCAACCAAGGAGGATTCCAACATCAACATGCAAAGATTCTGCTCTAATATAAAGACGGACTTTTATAAGCGCCATTTTCTGGGAAGCCAAAGAACAACGGCAATCTACTGTACAACTTCTAAGCATTCATTCTGAATTAAAATAATTTTCAACTGTGAAAATTCTGTAAAGATCTACTCTTTTTGACAAGTAAACCCGCAAACAAAAGCAAGTAACAACAAAATCATTAGCTGTGACCTGAGTTAAAAAGAATTTGCACGTCCTTACTGATATTTTCCACAATCCCAGGCAGGCAAACAAATAGAGTTGGGTGGGCGAAATGCTTTCAAGAAATTAACTGATACTCTGGAGTCATAATTCGCACAGAAGAGTTATTTAAGGACTACTTACTTTCACAGGCGGTTCCTAATCTTTTTAAATCCTCTGGGAATAGGATGAAAGACACTGACCCTCTCCTAGAAAACTGCACGCAAAATCATATTTGCACATATTTTCAGGAGATTCCCCAAATAAGGGGTCATTAGTGAAGAGTATGTATTTGACGTGGCATATATTCGAAAAAGAAAACTTCCTTACAAATGACTAAAAGGCATCAGTGTCTTCATTTCCATAGTAAATCTACAATTTACAAAGCACTTTTACATACCTAGATAAGCTCCTTAGAGTCTGGCCGATAACTGTTTTACTACTGAGGAAACTAAGGCGCGGATTTAATGGCTTGCCAGAGTATCCACTTAGTAATTAGAGGGGTAAAAATATTTTGTAACCGTCCGAGTCCCTATCCAGAACTTCCCTGCTGCTAGGAAGAAAATACGATCACATGTACGCATTTATTACTGTGTTATACTACATAAAGCATTAAGTTATGGTACTATGATGTCGCCGACCACTACTAAAACTAAAAAGACAATTTGCTCCTGCATTTAAGGGCCCCGCACCACTTAATGAAGCTGGTTATCCCAGCCTCTCCTGTAGTCAGCGGTGTATTTCTTCTGCTGTCATTATCTTTGCCTCCGCAAGTGCCCCTCCCCTTCTGCTAATCTCCTTCTTCTAACTGGCCCTGTCGACTGGGAGATCAGAAAGTTAACTCACCCTTCAGTGTACACATGGCACAAACCCTCATAAACTAGTTATCAGAAAGATCTGACTTTTCTTTGAATACAGTAACATTCCCTTAACAAAAGATTATCTCTGGTTCCCAACACAAAAATATTATAATAGGATCCTTTTTCATGCTTTCAGAATAATGACCCAAACGTTACATTGAAAATAATTTTCTCAAACAGAAAAACAGGTTAAGAAATTCAGAAAAAAATAAATAATAGAGCAAATATAAACCTTTCCATACTCATTGTTCTCTATAATCCACTGACTCATGCAGCAAGTAAGTTCAAGGACCGAAAAGAAAGTGACTTTTTAAAAGTAATAGAGGATAAAAAACAACACTTTTCTAACAAATATAACTTATCTGTACTTTTTTATTCTTAAAATATTAGTCAAATTATTAAAGACAGGCTTTTATAATTATAAAAATTATGCAACTCGAGATCAACAAAAAAGGATTCGTTTGAATCTAAAACACTTTTCCTGCCTAAGTAATCACAGAACATTATTGGTGAAATCCAATTTTAACCAAAATATTTGATTAATGGTAAGAAATCCTATGAAAAGTTACTTGTTATGTGATTAAACAACAAAATATAAGTTATATGACATACTGCTTCCAAAATAAGATTAAAATCCATATTACCAGATTAGATGTTATAAAGTTTTTCTGTTGTATTATGTAAGAAATTAGGAATTCAGATATATTTTTACTATTATCGAGTTTCACAATGGCACAATTAAAATATCTCTAATTCATTTCTATATTTAATCATTTTCTTCTAAGTTACAGACAAGATACATTTGAGTAGCATAATAAACTGGCCTGTATAATAGAAACAGCAGCACTTGCGATGTGCCAGGCACTGTTCTAAGCATTTTACACCCTATGAGACGATGCCATTATCAAAACAAGGGAACATCAGGAAGCTGAGGCTTGAAAAAGATAAGTAAGCAGCTTTCCAAGAGCCAGGACTACAGTGGAGCCCATATACTAGTGTGACTCCATGCCACTGTGTTAGATTAACTCATTTTAGAGTATTTTAATTTAGTACTTTAAAGTACATTTCCTAAATTCCATTACCAACACCATTCAGCTTAAAAATAAAACAAAAAGCAGTCATTGGAGAACTCATCGACGCCTCACAATTTATTAGGATAAAATCTATTTATGGTTTATGTATAGGGACATGAGTGTTAAGCAGTATCCTCTTGTTTTGTTGACACATTTCAGGAGCACAGTATGGAAGGTAGAATAGATAGCCCAGAAAAATTTCTCCTAAATTGTCAGAAAGAACTAACAATTAATGCAAAAATAAATTTTTACCAAGTATTTGAAATGCTATGTAATTTTTAAATAATCAGAACCAAAATATCCCCTCCCACTACATCCAATCTTCCAAAAAGTCCAAACAATAAAATATGATGAAAACCACCTAAATATAAATTCTCAATACATTTAAGCAGTTTAGTTATGCTCTTATTTTTATTCTAAACACAATGAAGCTCAAACAAAAATAGCCCCTACAATGCCTTCCTTTGGCAAACAATGTTTTTTAACAGCCCACAGACTATTACATTTATTCCATCAAAATGCATGGAAATTTTCAGTTTAGCATTTTGTTTCTTACTAACAATCAATGGTTTATTTGTTTTTTAAAAATAAGAACACAAAACAAAAGCTGGAATCCGGAAAAAATGAGGGCTCATGTTAGTCAAAGTTCTGCACTAAGAAGCAATTAAAGTCTTCCATATAACTTTCCCTAAAACACAGAACACATTACTATCCCTGTGAAAAGGAAATGACATTTTAAATACAAACACATAAAAGTTTACTATAGCTCTTTCACATATTCTTAGTATTTACACTTCAACAATATTTAAAATAGCAATATTTTTCTTTCAGAGCATGTTCACTGTTAAAATTTATTTTAATGACAACTTTAAAAATTAAGCTTTATTTTAAAACTCAGTGGTTTCTGGCATGCCACGAACATCTCTGATATGATCTGTGTGAGAAATCACTGAAAACTGATCAGACCTTTTACAGAAGACAGAATGATAGCCATGTAAAAGGCTCAAGGAACAGTTATATTTACTTCAGATACAATTAGTTCTCAATATTTAGATTTGATGGACTATTTTCTTCCTTAGTTACTAAAGATCATTTTTTACATTCTCATTAGAAATCAATCATTGTTAGAAACAATACTAAAAGAAACAATAGAACGTTTACCACAATATGGACTTTTAAAATACTCTAGGTTTAAAGAGAATTCTTTGAGAAAAAGCGTGTCCTTATATTTCAGAATGTTTGTACAAACAAAAAATTTGGCATAACTTTTAATAAGAGACTGAATGTTATTACACCAACAGCTATAAGCTTTAAAATGAAAGTTATGAGCTTGAATAAAGGGAATGGGGGTGGAAGTTTAATACAAAAGTTACAGTGCTGGCAACAGAAGATTTCCTTCTTTTCCTTCTAGTCAAGGACCAGATTCCATAATAACCAGATCAAAATTAACAAACTATTTTGGGCACGAGAAAACAGAAGAAACAACTCTGAAATAAACAAAATGGCCAAAACATACTGATAATATAAAATCACCTATCAAAATGTGCACAATTTCCCATAAATCTGAAATAAATAAGCTATTACTTTAACCAAAACACTATCACTGGATCAGAACACTACAGGCCAATATAAATACAACTATCTACTTAATAAACTTTAAGTATAAAGTTACAGGGGGAAAAAATGTTCTTAATGCCTAAAACCTGAGTAAGAAAAAAATAACACCAAAGAGAGAGACATAAAAGAGGCACAATTTTTCAAAATACATAGTCAGAGCTAAAGTAATGTTTGGGGAAAGTCTGATGTAACAGGTTGAGAGACCCAAGTTCAGTGGCACGCAGTACGTAAGAGATGGCTAAAAATGGTTTGGTGCCCTAATGAAATTCTACATTTTGTTGTTCCTATTGTTATACAAAGAAGGAAGAGGGTTCATTTTTGTTATTCCTAATAATATTGACAGGTGGCAGCTGGCCTAGAAAAGTGAATGCCATCAAGAACAAATCGATGTATTCAAAGAATGCAACTCAAGAAATATTTTCTTGGTGTTCATACCAAACCTTTTCTAAGATCACCATCTCCTTTTTCATGGAAGGTCTATTTCAGTTAATACAGTGGAAGGGGAGCAATTAACACAAGGCATGTTTCAGTAAGTACTACTCTAATCAATGGTACCAATAATTGCAGTGACTCTTGGGGAAATCTCTTCCTGTAATTTACTTACCTCCACTGCCTGCATCTTGCTCTTCACCTTCAGGAAATGCAACCTGGGTTGGCAGGCTATTCCTAGATCGAGTGACTGTCTCTAACTGGGAAGCCCGTCCCAATAAAGATAGCTCATCTAGCACCTCTCCCTCTTTGGCTTCGAGATCTGATTTTGAAGTGGTTAAGGGTTTTATACTTTCGGGTGCCATCAGTCTATTGGAGTCATTCAAACATGCTACTGTGCCACTGTCTAGGCTCAGCACTCGGGCCCGAGTCTTGGCACTATTTGTGCTAGAAGTCCGACGTGTTGTCCGCTTTTTGCCAGTTCCTTCCAGACCCAAATGAGCTTTGTGTGTGTGCTCCGCGTCAGTGCCCTTTTCTTTAGGGACATGCTTGGTCTTGAGAGCACTATACCTGCCCTCAGGAGACTGACACGAATGAGAAGTGGTGCTAGAAGAGCTATCGCTGCTGAACTGGTGAGCAGACTGAACACTTGATGCTCTGCTCAAATCACTTTGGTCACTAGAGTCCTCATCGTGACAGAATATAGCACTGTGTGGCTTGGTACCAGAAACACCTCGAAACGAAACATAGTCCCGGTGCCGACTTGAATCAAAACTGCTGGCCCGTTTTTTTCCTGTCCGTCTCCTGCCTGACTTATGCACAGAGGCTGTCCGGTGGATTAAGCTGGACGATTTAGGTCGGACATCCCCTTCCTTCTGCTTTCCACCAACGTCTTTCCCAACTTTTGAGTCCACTGAAACAGCAGGCTTATCACTCTGCTCCTCTCTGTTTTCAGCAGTTTTCTCAAGCGGTCTGTCCCCCTGCAAAGTGAATTCATTTGCGTGGGGATTTTTATTGGCTTCTTCAGATGCGGAGGTGCTGAGACCTCTCTGATTGTGCACATCATCAGAGGTATTAGAATCCTTGGCCTCTTGAAGCCCACTATTTGTACTCACTTCCAAGGCCGTTTTTTCACTACTAGTCCTTTTGTCACTGGTACAGCTACTCTTGTCCTCTGGGTCAGCACAGCACTCTTTTTTCCGACCACTTTTCTTTCCTACTTTGGGAGACTCCTCGTGCTCTGACAAGATGCTCTCTATGTGAGTGGAGCTGGTCTGTTCACTCTTATAGCTGCTGACAGTACTGTTAGTGTCACGATCCGTTCCACTGCAATAGCTCTCTGTGGACCCACTACTCCGTGTGCTCAGGCTCCTCAAGCTGTCCATGCTTTTGTCTGCTTTCAAAGGTTTGCTCTTCCCAGTTTTTGTAGGTGGCTGAGGACTGTTTTTCAGCTCACCCACAAGCTGAAATTCCCCAGATAAATGAGAATTTTCCACCAAGGATTCTTTGGATCCAGAATGAGGTTTGGAAGATTCTAACTCACTAACTGGATCTAACCCACGTCTTTGTTGATACAGAGGGAAGTCATTCAGTGAAGTATCTGGAAAAGCCACAGCAGAGCTGGAGGTCCGTGGTACACCTCGTGGCCGGTGATCTTTCCTGTAAGAGTGTGAATGTAAAGGGACGAGAGAAGCTACTTCTGTGTCACAGGCGCTGGACAGAGACTGGTCGACATGGTGGTGGTGGCTGTGGCCTGGCAGGCTCACTTTGTCGCTGCAGTCCCTTGGCAAGTCCTGCCCACAAGAGGATAAGGAAGGCTGAATGGAGATGAAGGAATCATTGGAGACCAGACGGAAGAGCTTCCGATCAGTTGCCAAATCTGTTTCAAACACATTTGGAAACGTTAACACAACTCCATGATCTGATTTTCTACTCTTTAACAATGGAAAGAATTCACAGCATACAGTAAATCAAGTATAAACAATTTCTCAAGTAACTCACTAAAGAACAGTTGCCCAGTCATTCTAAAGAGCTGCTTTCTATTTCACAGTTGCACAAAGAAAGCATTCTACAGATAGAATGAACTAACAGCCTCAGAAAAGGTCCTAAAGATAATCAGCAAAAAAATAAGAGGCAACAAAAACTTATATTTAAAATAGACCAAGATTTTTATGTGAGCTATGTCTCTAACTTACTAACTGGGTAACCTGGGATTACCTTTCTAATCTCTGCTTTCTCGCCTATAAAATGCAGTATCGGTCTCACCCACAGGTACCATGGAATAACTGAGATGTGACATATACTGCTTAGCACAGTGCCTGACACAATTAATGGCAGCTATCATTATTCTACCTAACAACACAAAACACTTGTTGAAAAACTAATGATTATTTCACAAATCAACAAAAACCTAATCAGAAAGGGGGGGGGATCAAAAGATTGACCAATACCCAAAAAAGATATAATAAGATATCTTGATGTTCATAATGTTTGACAATATTAAAACAATAATTATGAGGCGAAATAATGCATTTCATTGTTTCATCATTGATGCAACAATTACAAAATGCCTCATGAAAAAAAATATAACCCCTTATAGCTATAAGCTATTTCTCTAACCCTCCATTTAGGGCAGTGATTAGTGACCTGAGTTACCATATATACTATGTATGTAGATATAAATATAAATAAATCCATCTACCTATCTACCTACATTGTAATTTATCTTGAAATATAGCTTAACAACCAAACTGCACAATAGCTAATTTTTAATACACTTTTTACAGACAAGAGGGCTGAATCTGCTGTTAGCTCAATAAAAAGAAAAATTATTCTTATTTGTCATAACTGCATAGAAAAAATATAACAGATTCTGTAATAAGTCAGACTCTTCCCCTAGAATTTCAACAATAAAAGCACACATTCCTCCCTAAGATTAATATGTAATAATAGTAAATAGAAATGTTTACATGCTTTAAAAAAATCTAAATCTAGATTATATCTGAATAATTAAAAACTTACTCTCTAGAAAGTACCACAGAAATTGTGATTTACAAACGACCTATTAGGCTTTATCTTATGTTTTATAGTCGTCAAGATGAGTAAATTCCATGTTCTTTATCATTTGTCCAAAACAATTGTCACTGTGCTTGGGGTCTTATATTCTCTATATACCAAAATTTAAAAGCATTATATTTACTTTTCTGTAGTATGAAATGATAAAGTTATTTCTAAAAACTCTATATATATCTCTAATAAGCAACTACAGAATGTTGTGATATTCACATTTTAAGGTTATGAATTTTATAGAACAAATATTGGACTGAACAAGTAGCTAAAAATTGCTGATTCTAATATATAACAAAAGACTTTTAAAAATGCTAACAATCAAAACCAACTCCCTTCTAAGACAGTCATAAAGGAGAAATTTAAGTTTTTCATTTTAAAAGACAGTCAACTTCAGTATATGCACTTTTTTCAATGTTACAAAATAAATATACCATAAAAAGTTTAACTTTAAGTGGTTTTAGGAAATTTTTTAGTAAGTATGCTTTCTTAGACATTTTTCTTACTGGCAGTATGCTATATAGTGAAAGACAGGCTCAACTCAATACAGAGAGATACTATTTTTCATATAATTTAATTAAATTTTTTCTCAATGATTGCTACTAGTGGTGCTTAGGATAAGAAAGACATGCTCACATACTGCTCATAGTGGTACAAACAGGTGTAACCTTCTGTAAAGCAGTCAGGCAATATGGTCAAAAGCCTTCCAAAAGTATATTCACCAATGATCAGTAATCTATTTCTAGAAATTGCTGTTAAAGGATAAAATCAAATATGTATACAAGGTTTTAGCAAGATATTGTTCATTTCAGGTTCTTATAAAACTTCTTAAAACACAAAAAGTATAAAAACCTCCAATAAGAAAAAGGTTGAATAAATTATGAAGTCTATTAATAACATCATGCAGGCACTAAAAATGTTTTCAAAAATTACATAATAATAATATGTGAAAATACTTAAGTGAAAAAGATGGCACTGTATAAAAAGTATTATTCGAGCCCTGGCAGATTTTGCTCAGTGGTTAGAGTGTCTGTCCACAGAATGAATGGTCCCGGGTTCGATTATGGCCAAAGGCAGGTACCTGGGTGGCAGGCTCAATCCCTGGCCCTTGCCGGGATGCATGTGGGAGGGAACCAATAAATGTGTCTCTCTCACATCGATGTTTCTCTCTCTTTTTCTCTCTCTCCCTCCCACTGTCTCTGAAAAAAGGCAAGGGAAAAAGTATCCTCAGGTGAGAATTTAAAAAAAGTATTATTTGAATCTATAAGAGTTAAAAAGAATACTAAGGGTATATGTGCATGTTTGTGGGAATGTTAAAATTAATATACCCTACTTAGCCATAAAAAGGAGTAAAGTCCTAATACATGCTACAACATACCAAATAAAAGCAGCAGACACAAAAGGCCACATATTACACAATTCCATTTATATGAAATGTCCAGAATAGGCAAATGCATAGATAGCAAATTGATTAGTGGTTGCCAGGGACTGGCTGAAGAAAGAAATGGGGAGTATAATGGGTTTGGGTTTCTTTATGGGATAATGAAAATATTCTGTAATTGGATAATTGGTGATGGGTGCACAATCTTGCAAATATACCAAAAACCACTGAATTTTATACCATTTGTAAAAAAAGTTTACTGATCCCTAACCTAGATAATAATATACACTCAGTGAATGTTAGACATCATATTTCCGTCATTATGTATCTGCAAGGGTATGTCTGTACATATATAATTCCTAACCTGCCACACTACAAAATTTTTACTTGTGCATGGTACTTTCCAGATATAAAAAAAAAAAAGATATATGATCCCTAAAATGCACTAGCCCCTCTAAGATCAATACCTAGTTTTTGAGACATTCTGATAATTAAATATTATAAAAAGTGATACTACTATAATTCTCAAATCCATCAATTCACCTTTACTTTTTATGAGAAAAGTATGTTCAAGAGTATTTTTTGGAGGGAGGAGTAGATTGGCAGGGGTAGTCCACAAAAGCAAATAAACAATGATGGGGTACTATAATTCTAAAAAAGTAGGGTTACAGTGATAAACTTAGAATTCCAAGTACCAGAAACAAAATATGCTTGTAAGAACTGGACCTGTATTAACGGGAAAATGCTGTAATTTAGTGATCTATTTGTAACTTCATAAATAAGTTTCATAATTAAGTACAGGACATTTATCAGCCTGCCTGCTTACCAAAACATCAACCACAGGCCAATAACAGTAGCCTGGGAGGAGAAAGACAATTTTCTCTCTCACTGATTATAACCTGGGATAATCTCCACTTAAAATTCAGGATGACATATCCATCCTTTCATGTTTGAAAATAAAAAATCAAACATGAAAACATGGAAGTTCTTTTAAAAAAAAAAAAAAAAAAAACCAAGAAAATCCAAAATACTCATTTATAATGGAGTTGAATAAGAAGGTAAAAAATCACTTGAAGCCAAAATTTCTATTAAAAATTTGCTACAGGAGGCAGGCACCATGTTGAAGGCAAACATACAGTTTCTCAGAAACTCCAACAGCAAGTTATTTCTCCATTAAAGAATGTTGTTGGACAAGATATGAAGCAGTTGGCATTTAGGGGTCATGCTGAATGGAAAAATAACAGTTACATACTAGGTTATCACTGAGCTAGGCAAGACACTCTGACCAACTGCAGGGGTGGGGAACATCCGGCCGCGAGCAGTATATGGCCCATGAAGTCATTTGGTCCGGCCCTGCCAAGGCAACTGCAGGCACGACTCGAAAGTCAGTAAATCTAGGAGCTTTTTTCATAGCTAATTTTTAAGTTGATAATTTTGTATGGCCTGCAAATGATGTTATAAATATCCAGACAGCCTTTGGCAGAAAAGAGGTTCCCCAGCCCTGAACAAAAGAAATAGCAGATTATCTTCCATCTCATACTCACTCTAGGGAATATGCTCATAAAATTTGTCCCTTCATGTTTAGTTGGCAGAACATTTATAACTGAATTCCAGAAAGCTAAAAGTACTTCTAGCACTCTATTATTGTTATCCTAGTAAATAATTTTATTTTAATGTTACTTTTCAAAACAGTATTAAATTATTATAAATTTCTGCCAATATGTAACATATTCTAGAAACCCACAGTGGACACAACAACATATAATGTCACCGTGAGGTGCAATCTTCTTACCTTGTTCTTCACTTCCTTCCTTACAGAGACTGGAGCTCTGGCCCAGACTTAAACTGATATCATCAGAAGTCTTAGCAGTGTCTGTATCTCCTGCAAAGTTAAAAGAAACACATAAAGACATTATATTAACAACTGTACAGAGTGGCATAACAAGGAAGGATGTCAAGGAGTATAGTAGATATTTACTATGCTAGTTTACTATAAGCTATATCAGTATACTATATCTACAAAAGCAGTAGACTTTCAGGCCACAGAATCATTCTAATAGCACTATAAACCAAATAATACGGAAAGCTTCATATTGTTAGCTAATAAAAGTATTTCTTTAAAAAGAAGCAGGTTTTTCTTTAAAAAAATAAAACTTATGCAATAATAACTTGAAACAACATAAATTTCCCAGGGCAAATTAGTAACCTAGAAAATTATAAAGATAAAAATAATATAAATTTTATCAGAAATTAATGTAAAAAATAAAAAGCATATATCAGATGTATAGGAAAACATTTTCCCTTTTCTTAGTGTCTCATGTGCACCCAATTTAAAGGTTTCATATTAAATTACTCACTTTTCCATGAACCTCACTAAAACCCACAAAAGCATTTTCCCTCAAGGCAAGTAAGTTTCTTATAGACCAAAATATAAAGTTCATGCAATGTAATGCAAATGGTCAAATACTTTTGTGAGATTTGAATGATGAAAAGGGAACACAATTTAAATCAAATAACCATTAATATAAGATACATAATTTTATCTACAAAATGATTTCAAGAATAATATTTCATTACATGTGAATATAAAATACTCAGTTATCTTTATTACAACCAAAAATGAACTGGAAAATCAGACGACTTTCAAGTTAGATCATGTCTACCTTTAATAGTTGCTGCTGTTCCAAGACGAGAGGAACCAGATCCAATCTGAAAACATGACATGAAACAAGTAAAACTAATTAAAATGCCAGCTCTATGTTATTATCATACAATATACACTAGCAAGATAAACAAAATTAATGTATTATCAAAACATGTAATCAGTTACTTTTATCAATGTTAAAAGGTACCGTTTAGGCATTTTACATCAAAGTGCCAGGCCTGTTTCCTGTAGCACATACTGTGGATACGTCACAGATGTGCTGTGACAATGAGTCACTGAGTCCCTCTGCATGCTCAGGATTCATGGAGCCCCTAGGACAGGATGCCTCCAGCCTCAAGCAATCTACGTCAGACAATTATCATTTTTTATACTGCATCATGACATGTTCATGTTATAAATAAAAGCAAAATTAGGTGTTGAGTCTATCTGAAATAAATTCAGACTTGTCAGGATACATTAAAGGGAATGTTTGGTGGACAAAACAATATATGCTACAAAGAGCAACCTAAATCTTCAACTGTCAAGCTGTTAACTAATCAGTATGTACTTTCCTCAGTTCCAGACAAAAAGTAAGCACTTCTTTGTAAACTTCTATAACATATTTGGAAAGGATTAAAAACTAAGGCATCCATGAAAAATGAATTTTTAGCACAAACTATATAAACAAAGATAAAATCTACTGAACTTTTAATGATTCTATTAAAGATGGTATAACACTTTCCCAAAATTTCACAACCATAATTTATTATACTATAAAAATTATATAAACAAATACCACAAATTCCACAAACACCTTAAGGAAAAATATAACAACAGGACAGTTACTAAATCAACAAGTCTTAGTAACTCTTTCTATAATCAGTTTTCGAGGGAGTCAAGAAGAAAACACTCAAGCAAACTTAACATCTTAGAATAAAATTAAGAATATTCAAATAATATTTTGTATTTTACTAAATCTTTCCTTTCATTGATTCAACTGAACAGAAGTATACAATAAAAAATTTGCTTAAAATATAGGTTAATATTGACTTTAAAGGGGCATGAGGGACTGTCTTGATCTGGATAGTAATTAAATTGGTATATATTTATATGTGTGTGTGTGTGTATAAAAATCCACTTAAGATATGTATACTATGTTTTATAAAAGTTATATGGCAGTGAAAAATAAGTAAAAATAAGCATACACAAACATGTAAAAACTACTCATAAATTCTTGCTATAGCCAATAAAAATGAACTTTGCAATATTTTTATTAAGCTTTATGCTCAGCAAAAAAAAAATGTATTTAATGTGAAAACTCAGTTAAAATAAGAATATTAAAATATATTAATAAACAATCAAAAATTATTACTCAGCAAGATAAACCCAAACACCACATGACTATTACAGACAGGAGAATTCCTCAGATCACCATCAAGAGGAGGAGAAAAGGCAAAGTAAAATCACACAGATTTCGACCTGGTTGCTTGGATCTAGGCCAGCATAAGAATTTCTTGAACTGCAACCAACTGGTGGTGTGGCCTCTCGAATGAACTCAGACATTTCTATCCCTCCACCAGGATCGCTGTGGGAATGAATGAGAAAAAGAGAGTACCATTATTCTGCCATCAATGGTTTTCTATTATTTTTTTTTTCTATAAAACTAGGAGGTTCTGATTTTTAATAGAGCAATTGGCCAAAAAAAAAAAAAAGAATGATCACTCTTCATTTATAAGTCTAATAATCTGAACTATTTTACAGCCCTGTGAAACAGCTGAATATATTTCAAAACATTCTCCCAAACTGTCTACACTCATCCAACATTAGAAACTGACCTTAATTAGACTTAGAGCACACTAAATAGGGCACATATTTTATGATGTGCACAATATAACCACTCTAGCAAATAAATGATTTGCCTTTTGTTTCCTAAGCACAAAGAGGAATCGGTCATTGTAAACACAGAAAGTAATCAGATCTCAGACCACTCTCGAGAGCAGTCTGAGCTGCGTGGCACAATGATGAACATGAAAGACAACAGTCATCCTGGTCAAGCCATTTGTACCTGTATTTTCTAAGTTAACAGTACTCAACTGGGATGCAAACTTGTTTTATAGAACTGGAAACCTAAGATTTTAGATTTGTGTGTAGAAGTTAGAAGGCTTACGTTAAATGATGCTCACTATATGGTAACAGGTATTAGACAAAAGAGAGAAAAGTTCTAGGTTCAAAGAACTGGGGAGGTCCACATACAGTACATAAAGATAATGGGGTCCCCCAAATTAGGAAAAAAGATCACACCAAATTTTTAAAAACTTACAAAGTTTTAAAAGTTTTTTTACTTATTCTATCTGGTATAGACAGAGTAAGTACTCAATACATTTTTTAGCTGTTATCATCAAGGATAAAGTTCTAGGATCTATGTGCTAAGCATTCCAGTGGATATGAACTTTATTGCCATCCAGAACCTAATTCAACCTCCTCGGTAACAAAACAAACAAAAAAGAGAGTCAAAATCCTTCTGGTGAACCACCCCATCCCAAACTTCCCTACAGTTTTGGGTGAGGTTGACCCCATCCTCAGGTTGAGAAGTGAGATCTACTAGCCAAAGTCCATCAGCAGGTCCTTTTCTCTCGGTCATAGAGCTTAGTTCTAGAACAAGCAAAGGAACCAACTCAGGCTAGCATGAACCAGGCCAGGAGTGTTCTATTGTTGACAGGAAATTTCTATCTGCTAGACTTAAGGCCTGTCACTGCCTTTTTCTTTCTTTTTTTTTTTTTAATAACTACAAGGGGAGAGCAGGACCATGAAGTGACTGTTTGAAACCACACCTTACCACACCTTGAAACCACACATCTGAAGCTGTTTGTATCTGTATTTTTATATTTGTATCTGTCTGTTCTGGACATTACATACAGACTTTTCAGAAATGTGAGCCACAATTCCCTTAGCCTTTTTGGGTGGAGTATTCTGACAGCTGCAATCAAAAGATATAGACAAAGTAGAATTTGCTTATAAGTAGCTTCCATTTAAGTACTTATCACTATATCAGTTTGGATTCTAGTGTGTTTTTATTAATGGTCTCGTAACTATCATGTCCCTGTTTGCTTAAGGGATTACTAACTCTAGGCCACCGACTATAGTTTAGTAATGTTCAACAAGGAAAATTAGCCTTCTAAGTTGCTATCTATCTATAAAAATAAAACATACTGGAAGTCAGTTACAAATCTGATGACCAATTCAGCATACAAGTGTCCATATCTGAGAAAAGTGAAACATGCTCAAGTTAGTTAGTTGTTAACTCATATGAGATATACAGGCCAGAATGAGGAATATTCTTCTAATTTGGTAAAACCTTAAGTGAGTATATAGAGACAGCTATCACCATACTGAACTAGTGATGAGTAATAACCAGCAACATTACTGCTATCTCCAATGGATGAAACGAAAATCAGAAGACGGAGAGCAAAGTAAAGATTAAGGAATAAAATATACAACACCAGAGAGAAAAAAGGAGCCCTCATCTTGCCTAGTTTATATACATCAGCTTTACTGATATATAAATCACAGATTATCCATTTAAACCCCGCAATTCAACAGTTTTTAGTATATTCCTAAAGTTGTGTAACCATCACCACAGTTAATTTTAGAATATTTTTATCTTCAAAATCAAACCCCTTTAGCTATTACCACCACCACCCCTTCCCATCCCACCTAGGCCTAAGGAGCCTCTAATCTACTTTCTGTCTCTAGATGCCTATTCTGGACTTTTCATATAAATGGAACCATATATTAATTATGTGGTCGTTTGTGACTGGCTTCTTTCACTGAGCATAATGTTTTCAAGGTTCACCCATGTTGTAGCATATGTCAGTACTTTATACTTTTTTATGGACTAAAATACACTTTATTTATTCATCAGTTGATAGACAATGTTGCCTAGTTTTATGCATCATTTCTGATAGGAAGTCCAAATGATTACAATCTGAATGTAAAATTATTAGTAACAAATAAAAGCAAATATTTACTAAGCAGTTAGTACATTCCAGTCATGGGAGCATGTGCTCTATTTGCATTTTCTCATGAAATATTCCCTTAAAACCTATGATTTGACATATGAAAAACTAAAAACCAAAAGGTGGAAAAACATGGCTAAGGTCTCAGTGGAGTAAACAACATACACTGAGTCACTGGTATGAGGAGTTCAGGTGGGAAGGCAGGATAAAAACAATTACTTACACACCACTCTAGAGTGTGTTACCATATCTGTTCTTTCTTTTCTTCCCATACACCTGAATGTAGGTACTCACAACAGTAAAGAACAAGACAAGATCTTAATACCAGGTCTGTACAACTCTAAAGCTCACAGTCTAAGACACCATTACTGCCTTTCAACAAATAGGCACTGAAGTTCTCTTTCCAGTTCAAAACCAAAAATAAGCACCACTTCCTAGAGGAAGTTTCTTAAACCTCAGCACTAATGATATTTGGGGCCATATAATTCTTGATTGCAGTGACCATTCTGTGCATAGCAGCATCCCTGACCTCTCTACACTAGATGCCAGTGCCTCCCCTAGTTGTGATAAGCAAAAATGTCTTCAAATACTACCAAATGTCTCTTGGGGGGGTAAAAGCACCCCTGGTTGAGAAACAAAGATCTAACACTAATGCTCAATGGCCAACACTGAGTGGGAGGGAGGTATTAAGGAAGCAAAAGAGATGAACACAGCGGATGACTCCTTTTTAAAAAATCCTCTAGCAAAATTACCATACCTCTCTCTTCTCTACAGATTCAGAAGCAGAACTCTTAGCCAGCCAAAGGTGTACTAAATATAGCTAAGCATATAAAATGGCTGAGTAAGAATTTTTTCTTTATTGGCAAGCCTTGCAGATTTTCAGCAATGGAGAGATTTCGGCACACACCTGGAAAGTACAGTTTACAATTCTCACAGAAGCAGAACGGTCAACTGCAGTAAGCAATGCACCTAATTCTACCTTTACGCTTTAGTGTCCCCATCTGTTAAAAAATATATAGCAGGTACAGGGCAATGCAGGAAGACAGAAGGGTAGAGTCTAATCTGAATTATAAAGGAGACTTCACGAATTAATTTATTGATTAAGAGTACCATTAACCACTCAGGTTTTAATCAGAAACATCACAGCAACATTCAGTACTAAGTTGACAAGTACAGATTACAGTGATATTCATAAAAGTATGAACAGGTCAAAACAAAGTCCCTAAACAAAATAAATCTTCAGAAAACTCAGCCTAAAATTCACCTACATACAGTTTAAATAGATCCATAATTTACAATACTGCAAGCATTACTACCATGAGAAACAGAAAATATGGTCTATCTCCTAAATGTTTTTATTCAAATCATTAAACTCAATGTGTAATTTCCTCTCCAGAAACATTAGAAATGTAATACAAACATTAATGACTTTGATTCTTTCTATAAGATACAAATTTAATTAACAAATTTTTTAACTGCTGCGCCACAGTCAATGAAAACCCTCAGGCTCAAGTAGTCCTACTATATTCATTCAGTCATACAACAAAATGACAGCTATAATGTACCAAGCACAGAGACAGGCTCTGGAAATAGAAAAATATAGTTTCTTGTTCATTTCTTTTCCTCAGAAAAAAAATGTGAGTCACAAGTGGGAAGGTGGGGAAAGGGAGATGTCAAGAACAAAAATCTACAACAAAGATCCTATCTCATGATAAAACTTAAAAACACTCACTTTAAAATTAGGAAAAGACAAGGGTGTACCTAATACTACTTCAATTTAACCAAGTGCCAGAAGTCATGGCCACTGAAAAAGTTAAACAACTAGAAAGGAAGAAATAAAGCAAGATTTATGGAAAATTAAAAAAGAAACTATAAAGTTTATTGTTAATAAGGGAGTTTAATAAGGTTGCTAGATACAAAGTAAGCTGCTACATTTATTTAAAGGGAGAAAAATAGAAAAAGTAATTATAAAAAAATTTATAATAGCAGAAAAAGTATAAACTAATTTGGCAAATTTAACAAAAGCTATGTAACCCTTTTAATGGAGAAATAATGAATCTTCACTGAAAGACATCAAAGATGACTAAATAAGTGGAGAAATCAAATATGGTAAAGATATCGATTCAATGTAACTCCAATAAAAATCCTAAGTTCTTGCAGGGCTTTCCCAGTAGACTCTAAAGTTTATATCAAAGAGCGAAGAGCCAAGAACAGCAAAGTCACTCCTGAAAAAGAACAAGGTAGGAGGTTTGCCCACAGGATATAGCAAGTCATGTTACAGATACCAGGGTAGTGTGGTAACGGCATAGGCAGGGACGACTGGATAAACAAAACTGAAAAGAGAGCCCAGAAACACACCAACCATATATGAAAACTTAATTTATGACAGCAAGTACTGCAGATAATCAAGGAAAAGATAGTCTGTTTAACAAATACTGATTAAGCCCAGTCGGGGGTGGCTCAGCGGTTGAGCATCGACCTAGGATCCAGGCGATCGGGGTTCGATTCCCGGTCAGAGCACATGCCTGGGTTACGGGCTGCAGCCGATCAATGACTCATCATTGATGTTTCTATCTCTCTCTCTCCCTCTCCCTTCCTCTCTCTGAAATCAATAAAGATATATTTTTTAAAAACAAAACAAAACAAAGAACAAATACTGATTAAACCAGGTATTCATAAAGAGAAAAACAAGTCTTGAGAATCCCTACCTGATACTACAGATTAGAATAATTTCTAGTAGAATTGAAATGTGAAAAGAAACATGAAAATTTAAAAAGGAAATAATTTCATAAACAAGACACAAAAATGCTAATTACAAAAAAGTGATAAATCTTATATTAAATTTAAGTGTATGATAATCATAAGAAACCTTAAGGAAAGTAAAATGACAAGTCACAAACTTGAAAAGATGTCTGTAATGTTTGTGTGTGTGTGTGTGTGTGTATAAAACCAATAAAGGAGTATTATAAACATTTTTTAAAACAATTAGTCAATAAGAAGAGAACAACTCCAAATAAATATGAAACAAGACATGAACGTGCATTGGAAAGAAAACTTAAATGGACCATGTGTATATATAAGTTTCTCAACCTCATTACTAATCAGAAAGGTTCACTGAAAGTCACAATGAAAAACATTTAACACTTACCTGAATGGCAATTTTTTAAAGCTTACCAAAATAAAATATTGACAAGGATATGGAACAATAAGGATTTTCACCCACTAATGGTGAGAGTGTAAACTGATACAATCATCTTGGCAAATAGCCTGGAATTACCTAATAAAACTGAACATAAAAATACCCTACAAGCAAGCTTATTTATATACATCAGATATATACATGTGTACTAGGAACATACACAATAACGTTTTATCACAGCCAAAAATTAAGAATAAACTGAATGGCTATTAACAGAAGAATGGGTAAGTTACAGTCTACTCCTACAGTAAATATAAACAAATGATAGCTATAAGAATTAACATGGATGCCCTGGTACGTGGGATTCAGTGGTTAGAGTGTCAGCATGTGCACCAAAGGGTCAAGGGTTCAATTCCCAGTCAAGGGCATGTACCTGGGTTGCAGGCTCCTTCCCTGCCCTGCCTGGGGTACATGCCAGAGGCAACCAATCGATGTGTGTGTCTCTCTCTCTTTCTTTCTCCCCCTCCCCCTTCCCTTCTTACTCTCTCTAAAAATCAATGAAGAAAAAATATCCTCAAGTGAGGATTAACCAAAAAAAAAAGGAATCAACGTGGCCCTGGCTGATGTGGTTCACTTGGTTGGAGCACAGTCCCATATACCAAAAGGTGACAGATTCAATTCCCAGTGAGGGCACTTACCCCAAAAAACAGTCTGGTATAAAGAAAAAGAAAGATCAATAGGACAGAAAACAAAACCCAGAAACTGACATAAGTATGCTACATGAAAAATAAAGGATTTAAAATCACTGTGGAAAAATATTTATTATTCACTAAATGGTGTTGGGACTAATAAACCTAAAAAAGAAAATAAGTTATAATGTTTTCAGACTGACCACAATTTAAGAGTGCAAAATAAAATAAGAATACTGAAAGTAGACACATGTGAATATTTATATAATTTGGGGTAAAAAAAAAAATCTTACAAAACTTGCTATATCAAAGGTACAACTAATAAACATTCACAGAAGAGATCACATAAAAATAAATTGTGGCATATAAATAAATAAAATGCTATAAACTGAAAAGTATTTGACATAAAAGACAGTTAATATCCTACATAAATAAATATCTTCTCCAAATCAATAGCAAAAAACTAACCACCAATAAAACGACAACCAACGAAATAGCAAATATAAATAGTAATAACACAAGAAAAATACTTCCATGTCACTAGTAATCCAAACACTGAAAAATTAAACAATGAGATCTCTATTATAGTTTTGTGAAAATACTAAATACTGTGTTGTCAAAAGTACAAAAAAAGAAGCCCTAAACTGCTGGTCATTGTAATTAAAAAGTAAAAACTTTGGAATCTGGCAATATATATTGAAAAATCTTAAAAATGGGTATAGCTTCCTAGTAATTCTAACTTTACTAAATTATGATTAAAAATTAATCATTTAAAATTTATACATCATATTGATCAATATTTGAATTTGAAAATAACTGAAATAACTAAAAACAAGATAGTAAATATGGTATATCCACAAAATGAAATATTATGAAGTCAAAAATAATATTACAGAAAAAACTATTTAAAGTATTTCCTGAGTACCTACCAGTATCAGACAGTATTTTAGAGCCTGAGAATAGTTGATAAGAAAAACAAGGTCCCTGCTTTCAAGATGCTTATAAATACAAATAAATGATCAAGTAAGAGAATTTCAGATAGTGATTAATGCTATGACATAATTATCACAAGGGTAAATTATCTGTTCAAGGAACAAACAGGGTAATCATGTGAGGGATGGAGAAAATGTAACTGAAAGGGGTAACACAAAGGCTTTCAATGCACTGGAACACATTCAGAAACATTACCTGTGTTATAACATTTCTATCTTGATACCTGAAATACTACATATTATACTAAATGGAAACATGGCCTAGTGGTTAAAAGCATGGACTCCAGCTCAGACTCTCTGGGTTATTTGATCTTCCTCACCTTAGTTTCCACACCTGTGAGTCAAAGATAATCACATCTACCTCAAAGAATTGTTTTGAAGATTGAATGAACTTTATGTATGTCAACTGTTTACATAAAAACTGTTAAGTTCTATTGGTGATCATTATTTCTATAAAGCCCGATCAACTTTTGACTATGAATAAAGTCCCTGTCATAATGCAACAGAATGTGACTGAGTCCTAGGGGGAATACTCGAGATGGGACTGAAAAGAAAGCCTCCGGGAGAAGGTGATGTTTATACAGATTTGAACCCTAAGAAGTCAGTTATGCAAACATCTAGGGAAGAAACAGCTAAGTTTCTAAGGTGAGAATATAAAATTGAAAAATAGTTACAACAGATTAAGTGAAAAGTGCAATTATAAATGTCAAGCAAAATATTACCATTTGCTTAAGATATATACATTTTATTTATATGTATAAATAATACATAAATACTAAGATTTATAAGCCTGCTTTAACTTTATTATTTCTTTAGACTGGTTTCCATTGGTTTTGGTTTGAATAATTATTATACAATTATAACTACTATGGTTCCAACATGTTATTTAGCAGTGAGGCCAAGGATATTAATTTAATCTCCGAGATATGCCAGTTTGCTTTGCTGCGACCTGCTGTGACAATCTGTACTCATCATTGTCTCTACAGTGGTAAGATCTATCACTGCCTTAAAACCACATAAATAGAACAGGCACAACACGATAATCACATCACTGACACATGCATGAGCTACATCATTACAAACTGAGTGACATGGGTTTCCTTACCTGGGTCCATTGCTGTCTTTTCTCCTACTTGAACAGTTGCCTTGGTCAGCTTTGGCTCGCTGATCTGCCAACTCATTTGCATTCCTATCTACAACTTCTCCAGCATCCAGTGCTCTGTGGAGCCGATAGTTGACCATCTTCAGAACAATGAAAACAGCAGCTATCACAGGACAATAAACTGCTACTATAATCATAGAAGAAGGAAGGGCCTTTAAGAGAAAAAAAAGATGTGCATTTTTAAATATCTTATATTTCATTCAATTAGTCTGTAACTAATAACAAACATACACAGTCACACACAAAGCAACAATTATGTTACAAAAGTATAAGACAGCACTGCCCAATACAGTAGCCACTAGATAGATGAGGCTACTGAGCACCTGAAATGTGGTTAGTTTGACTTGAATTATGTACCGTAAATAAAACAGCATGGGATTTTAAAGATTCACTATGAACAAAAAGAATGTAAAATATCTCAATTTTTATATCAATTACATGTTGAAATAACATTTATAGTACTGTCAAATAAAATATTATTAAAATTAATTTCATCTGTTTATTTTTACTTATTTTTAATGTAGCTACTAGAAAAATTTTAATTACATATGTGGTTCACATTACATTTCCAATGGACAGTACTGGCATAAAGACCATGACAAAAAGCTTATAATATACAATTGGAGAGTTAGGGTATCACATTACATATATACATATACATGAATAAAACAGGGTTGTGATCCAAATATATATTTATGTGCTCTCTCTATGATTTTTTAAGATACAAACATTCTTTGTGCTCTACAAAATTGCGAGTTAAAACTGTCATTTGAAACCTTAGAACTGTGCCTGTAAAACCAGATGAGACATGGGAGAGATGCAAAATCCAAGTATGTTTTACTTTAAAATATAAACACTTAAAACACTTAGAAATTATAGACTGCCAAATAAAATAATACAGAATAGAATCAAGTAATGAATAGAACTGAAATAGGTCAGAAGCATCCTGGGCATAGGGATGACTGACTCATCACACTTTAGGATTCAGTGATGGGAGACTTGAGTGTGGGGGTGGCAGGCTTAGAGACCATCTGACTTAGAAGGTACGGCCTCAGAGTCACTGTTGGTAGAGACTATAAAACTAGGCTCAACTTTCATAAGGGAAAAAAATCACTCTGGATGTCTATAGCTCCAGATTCCAAATGTTTTCATAAGATTCAACTTCAGTTATCTGAGACTGTAACTCTTAAGTTTGCTTGGAAAGGTAATCTCAAATTGCTTGAGATAGTGAAACTGAAAAGATCCTGTTGAACTCGGCAGGTTCAGAATACAGATATAATAAAAGGTGTTTTTGTTTGGTTGGTTTTTTCTATTTGTGGGGGAGAAAGGGAAAGTGTGTGGGTCAAAATTGGGAGAGGGTAAAAAGGTAACTCAGGCCCACTTTTGAGTTGGATATGGGCATAATAGGTATATATTTGTTATTTTTAAATATTTAGATTAAGAAGTCATTCATATTAGTGTTTCTAAAAAATAAAACTGTGATTCCAATTTAAAATGTCATAAATAACTGATTTAGGCTTATTAACTTTAAGCTGAAAAATGTATTTAAAATTTTACAAAATCCATATATATCAGATTTAAAAGATTTAAGAACTTAGAAATATTTGTCGGATAACTTAAGTACTTAAAAATGAATACTAAATTTATAATGCAATTTAAAAGGATTTTAAGCCATATTTTAAAAACCAAACCTATTAAAAATGATTATTAAAATGTTTTCAATCTGTAAAGAGTTGAATTTAAAATTCTAAGTTTAATTTACAGCATTAATAAGTCTAGCATTCACTGTTAAAAAAATAAAAAGGCGCTGAATAACCTTTTCCAAGCAGAAAATATACACACTACATACATACACACACACAGTCAAATTAACAAAAAATTCAAAGTAAACACAAATATGAACGTATATACTGCTCAGAGTATTTACAAAAATTCTGCATGATGCTGGTTTACTTATGATATGCTTACATAAGAACTAGAATTCTTGGAGATCATTTAGTTCAACACCCTCATTTCGAGACAGAAAATTGAGACCTACTAACTTTGAATGGCTTAGCCAAGATTACCATCTTAATAACATCTAAATGACAAAATTAATCGAGGTTTTGTTATGCCTATGCCACCGCAGGTTTGACTATATGGCACAATACCAATTCCATTTTCAAAAGTACAATGTCAATGAAAAAAACGAGTCAGAGTCCACTATTATTTACTGTAGTCCACACTAAGATAAAAATGATTGATTACATTAATTAGGTGGATGCAGAGAGCAACCTCACCATTATTATTCAGAGTGGCAAATTCAATAGAAATGTTAATGGCCCCTCCACATGGAAAAAGAGAAAAGAAACTACTTAATATTGAGTGGTCTATGGTATTTGCCTCTACAAAAAAGCCAAAGATGAATGCTTACAACAGATCTAAATAAACTCTCTCTTCCCCACTATCATATTGCCAAAAGCAGTATATAACTGAGTGCCAAGAAACACACTAAAGTGTGTTGGATCTATATAGTAAGTACAGAAATCCTTTTAAACATTGAACATTAAAAGGCTGGGGGGGGAAATTAAGTGACCATTTCATACTGGAAACCAGTATCAGATGATGAACACTTGTATTTTCTACTCAAACTAAAAATGAAACCCATTTATTTTATTCTATGTAGCTTAAATACTTACGCCTGTCAGAGGTTACCCTTGAGGTTTCTAGGTGACAGGACAGCTGTGCTACAACACTTTCACTTTTCCCAAAGGGGGATAAGGTGCACAGACACACACTGGGCTGTTGTGTGGCTTTGCTCTCTCTCTCCTCTACTTGCATTCCTTCACAGGGCTCTCAGCTGATTCCAGCAAAACTGACAATATGAGTAGTGAATCATAAATGGATCATAACCCTCCCCCTGTAACTGTGCTTCACTAATGTTACAAGAAAAATTTTAAAAGATGTCTGTGTTTAGAAGGTTCAGTGGTCTCCTAAAATCAAACACCAAAAGCCTAGAAACTAGTCAGGTCACCTACTTTTTAGTTTTATGGATTATATACCAAAGAGCAAACCTAGTAGTGTTTACTATTTGCTTTTATATTTTATTAAATTAGGTATCTCAATACTGTGTTTTCAAAGAAAGATTTTCAGAGACAATCAGAATTCCATTTATGAACAAGCAGGATCTCATGGGAAAGCAAGTTCTTTTTCTGAAGAAAAAAACTTTTATGATAAAACTGCTTATGCTTCTGTATCCCATTCAACAACTCAATTCTAAATTAAAACATCTATTTTGAATTTAGGGGGAGCAGGTGTTTATTGACTTAAGGTTAATTATGTTTCATAATATGCAAAAGTACTAGTATTTCCAAAAGGACACATTTTATCATTTTAGGTTATATTTTATTGTAGATGTCATCTTTAAGTTAATGCTGGTGTAACCAAGCACATTAGCTACCCTCTGATAATAAAAGCCATCTTATCTTCAAGTAAATATCTATCGTTACAAGTTGCTTAGATGGAAAGGCTGGTTTTACTTCTTTCCTAGGATACCACAAACAGTGAACAGCAGAGAATAAAGGTGGTGTAACACTGATGGACAAACAAGGCCCTCATTACATAACTAGGAAAGGTCACAGTCCTGCAAGCAGTCATCACAGACTTCAGGTACTCTTTTTGTACATCTTAAACACCTAACTCATATGTCTTATATAGCAAAAGATTTTAACATTAAAACAGACAAGCTGGGTTTTTGTCAGTCCTATCATGCAATGATATGCCTTATGACCCAGCAATGCCATTTCCGGTTATATACCTGAAGACACCCAAAACACTGATTGGAAACACATATGCACCCCCTATATTTATTGCAGTGTTATTTACAATAGCCAAGATATGGAAGCAACCTAATTACCCATCAATAGATAAGCAGATTAAAAAGCTGTGGTACATACATACAATGGAATATTACTCGGCCATAAAAAGATAAAACCTTACCATTTGCAACAGCATGGATGGACTTAGAGGGTATTATGCTAAGTGATATTAGACAGAGAAAAACAAATACCAAATGATTTCACTTATAGGTGAACTCTAAAGAACAAAATAGAAACAGACTCAGGTACAGAGATCATATTGATGGTTGCCAGAGGGGAAGGAAGTTGGAGGAATGAATGAAAAAGGTGAAGAGATTAAGAAGTACAAGTGGTAGGCACAATATAGTCATAGGGCTGTAACATACAGCACAGAGAATATAGTCAATAATATTCTAATAACTATGTATGATGCCAGGAGGGTACTTGAAATATAGGGGGTCACCACTTTGTAAAGTTTCTCTCTCACATCAATGTTTCTCTTTCTCGCTCTCCTTTCATCTCTCTAAAATCACACACACACAAAAAAAAGTTAGATGAATTAATATTTAACTTTGTCATCTCTCCAGTGAGGAAAGAAAATCAGATGTTAAGAAACAAGCTGGGATACTGAGCCCTTTACACCAATGTAGTCTTCTAAAATTGTGATAGTTTATCCTTAACATTGTGATATTTCAGCCAGGAGTGATAGGTTCAAGATATTCAAGGTGCCAAATACATTTCTGATAGGTCTCTTCAGAAATCCAGTTGTCGTCACAAAAATGAACATACTAGAATTATCGTAGTCGTGAAGTAACCTTTTTTAAAATTTAACTTTATGGTTGAAAGTATTACAGATACCCCCTTTTGCTCCCCAGAAGTAACCTCCTTATCTTACATTTCATTTCAAAACTCAAGTGACCAATTCTCCTCTATAACTAGCACACTGCAAAGTAGAAAAGTGGTATTTAATACAATGCTCATTTCCTTGGGCAGCAGTGTAAAGACGTGACATATGCTCATTGTCTATGCTGTGTTAGATTTGTAATTTTCAGTATTTTCTACACCACTAAATCAAAATCTAGAAATCTAAAAAAACATTAGTTTGGGATTACTGTGGGAAAATACCATTGGTTCAACAGAAACCACTAGAAAATTATAAAGACTTCAATGGCCTTATGTAACTGTTTGATAAAGTTTCAAGGCAGAAAACTAAGTAGGGACTAGGGGAAGAGGGGCTGTCATTACTATGAAGGAAAATTTTTAAATAAACACAAACATGAAGACTATATCTCACTGTCTCTCTTAAAGAGTAGATTAATTGGGCCCGGCCGGGCGTGGCTCAGCGGTTGAGCGTCAACCTAGGATCCAGGCGATCGGGGTTCGATCCCCGGTCAGGGCACATGCCCGGGTTGCAGGCTAGGCTGCTGATCAATGACTCTCTCATCATTGATGT